GTTCCATGCTACTTCCAAATAAGTTCCAGGGATGGTATAGAGTTCCATGTTACTTCCAAATAAGTTCCAAGGAATGTATATAGAGTTCCAGGTTACTTCCAAATAAGTTCCAGGGATGGCATAAAGTTCCATGTTACTTGCATACAAGTTCCAGGGATGGTATAGAGTTCCATGCTACTTCCAAATAAGTTCCAGGGTTGGTATAGAGTTCCATGTTACTTCCAAATAAGTTCCAAGGACTGTATATAGAGTTCCAGGTTACTTCCAAATAAGTTCCAGGGATCGCATAGAGTTCCATGTTACTTCCAAATAAGTTCCAGGGATGGTATAGTGTTACTTCCAAAGAAGTTCCAGGGATGGTATAGTTCCATGTTACTTCCAAAGAAGTTCCAGGGGTGGTGTAGAGTTCCATGCTACTTCCAAATAAGTTCCAGGGATGGCATAGAGTTCCAGGTTGCTTGCAAAGAAGTTCCAGGGATGGTATAGTGTTACTTCCAAATAAGTTCCAGGGATGGTATAGAGTTATAGGTTGCTTGCCAAGAAGTTCCAGGGATGGTATAGAGTTCCAGGTTGCTTCTAAATAGGTTCCAGGGACTGTATATAGAGTTCCATTACAGAGTTCCATGTTAGTTGGTTTTCCCGGCAGTTTCCCAACTTCAATGGGGTCACCGAAATCCTCAGACCATGGTCCTCTTTTACCTCCGGACTCGGAGGTTCTTGGAGGTGCGGAGCGGAGGTTCTCCAGACTCCCGTTGGTTCGCATGGATTGGTGTTTCTTGTTTTTCTCGCGGCAAGTAACTTATTATAGCCCAAACTCTCCATGTATGCCATGTATGCCGATCAGTTGGGGTGGTTGACTGGGGGTCAATGGGGCGGCATATATGGCAGTCCCATGGAGTGTTTGGGTAGTTATTATATAGCCGGAAAATTCGGCTTTGGCGTGATCCGGAATCTCTGGATGTGGCCTAGCCGTACATTCCTGGCAGTTGTCTAGAAGACGCCCAAAATTTAAAGCGTCATTTGTATAGCTGGGAAACAAAGAATTTCCCGAGTAGCTTCGATTTACAGGATAAAATATTAAATCCGACCCTGGGGTAGATGGGTAATCTGATAAATCAACTATCTTACTATAATTTGGGTAAAAACTCGTAAAGTCGATAACTCGCGATGAATTGCATATGATTTCCCGTATATTACCAATGACTGCCTTAAAGGCAGTCATCTTGTAACTGCTTTTAAAGACGGAATGTGCGACCAGAGCTTTTTGGATCACGCTTCACTTTGTAGATAGATAATTATCAATATATTTATGTGTTTTTTACATTTCATTACTACAATCAAGAATCACGATATGATTCGCACTTCATATCAATGATATAGACGTAATATATATATATATTACATTTCTCTTGTAGTGTTAGTTAGTTAGCCGGTCCGACGGGGGGGGGGCGTGAGCCATGGCAACTTTTGATGACATCGTGGTGTCTAGTGGTTGTCTGAGGCTGATCAGGCGTTCGTCAAAGGACGAGTTGACACTGGCATCAGAGCGAGGCTTTTGGCAAAGCCGACAAGGGAGGCCTTCAAGAAGGCTGTGGAAGAAGCACTTTTTGCATCATCAGGCTCTCCAAACAATGATAAATTGGATGAGATTGATATCTCAGGGTATGACACAGTTCACTTTGACGGCATTTTCGGCAATATGCAGATCCGTGAAGGTGAATGCCACGTGATTGCAAGACCTTTTACGGTTGTCTGCTCCCCCAGTGGCCTGTTTATAGTTGCGAAGCAAGTTCGCTGCCCCACCCAGTCCTTGCTCATGTCACTTAGCGGCCATGTCCCTCAGATGCTTGGTCCGACAGATATGTGGGGCTTTCCGTTGCCTCTCACAGAGGACTGTCCAGATCTGGCATTTATGCTTCCCGCCATTCATGACACACCTCCTCAGCCGATCATTGATGCCTTGACGTGGAAGGACACAGATAGTGGATGGGATGTGCATACCACAGAAGAACAATTGCATACATACATTCGCTTTTGTCGGGAGGTTGGCCTTTTGACTCTAGTCGAGTCTCTTGGTTGGCAGATGGTCGTCGTGCCACCTGGGGTTGATTATAGGCCTGCCTGGTGTGTCACATTTCGTCCAGCTGTGCATTCGCCAAGTGTCTCAAAACCACAATTCCGGTCAATTTGCACCGCAACAATCGCCCAGGCCCTATTTCCACCTGAGACATCTGACAGTAAGGCCATAAGAGTTGCACTCAAGCCATGGGACACGTGGCACCCTGTTCGCAGTTGGCCACGAGATACATTAGTTGAGGCTTTACTGAAACCGTGGCAACAGGCTTCACGACATACTGGAGCCCAGTTTCTCCTAAGGGCTTTGCATGGAGGAAGGCAAATGACCAATGAACATCAACTTGGTACATACATCCCTGTCACTCACTCCAATGATGAAGGTTTGAAGATTCATTTCGTGATGCAGCAGCATGGAGGAGGAAGCAAGCTCGATGCACACCATCGTTTGAAGCAACAAGCAGTTGAATTCCTGCTCCAGTGGGGGGCAAACCCGGCTGATGTGAACCCCTTTGTCCAGGAGTTATATGAAAAAGCAGGCATGTCCAGGTTCCAACATACCATGGCAATCAAGGATGGCGAAGAGAAATTCGCTCAGATCAAGCGCCTCTCGCAGGCTATGCACGTCAAGGTCCCGCAATTTGAAGATTTGCAAGAAGAGCGTCAGAAGAAGTTCAAGACGTGGAGACCAAAACCCTTCATGGATCAAACATTCATTCGAGCAGGGAATTTTTCCATCGCTACTAAATCTTTTGCCTATGGTGACGGGAGCGATGCCCCTTTCGTGCCTTGCACTAGTGCCATTCGTGAGGGAGTGATGCTTGCTAATGCAGATTGTGTAGGAGACATCGTTCGTGCACTTGCCTCAAAGCCAAAAGCCTTTGCCATTTGCGTGGTAGGAGCGGAATGCCCAGGCTTTGACACTTCGTGTCAGGCTATTCATGTACCAGCCTTGGACAAACAAGGTGCACAAGTGATCATTAAAGCATGCCTCCACCAATTTGGAACAGAGCCAATCCGACTGCGCACGACCTCAGGTGATGATGTTGCCGTTCAACCATCCTGCCTGTCCGCAATAACTGCTTGGAAGAGTGAAATGAAGGCAGAAACGTGGGCGTTGCTCCTTGGTGCCCCTGCAAAGACATGTGCGCAAGTGTTGTGTATTACACCTGCCGACCATTACAGCACCAGCCCTTGGGGCCGTACTTTTCGCAACGAAGACAAGACCTGTGGACCTGAGGAGGCACAGTCCTTTCAGTTTCATTGCCGCATCAAGTCTTCCGCCTTAGAATTATTGATGAAGCATAGCGGACAGGAAGGCGTGTACTTAACGCCGAAATCAGAGACTCTTAACCGGTTCGTGAGTTTGCTGCAAGCCTCGATGTACAGCTAGGAATAGCCCGCTCTACTACTGGTAGCCTGCATTACGGAGTACGTGTGCATTCAGATCATTTTGCTCAGGTTTTTACCAAAGCATTTCCGCATAAGACTGTTCCTCCAATGCTCGTGACTCACTTCTTGGCCAAGATCGCTCCTACTCCTACCGGAGCATTGGGAGAGAATGTTCGCGATTGGCTGGCAGTGCGTGGAATCAAGGGGAAGCCGGGTCGCGCCTTGAACACGAACACTTGGTTAATCTCCACCGTTGACAAGCCTGTTGGGAACAACTCTGTCCTGCTGTCACCCGTGGTCCCCAAGAATGACAGGGCAAGACCCACTGTTGTGGCGGGCCAACAGAGACAAGATCCACCATGGGTGTCACTTGCTTCACTCGACGATGAGCTACAGGGACTCGGTGATCCTTGGGCTAAGTGGAACTCCACCTCTGGCGGGAGCACATCATCTGGGAAACGGAGCGATCAAAGCACTGTTGAGGCAGTTCGAACTCAGACGCAAGTGTCAATACAGCAAGCAGAGATTAATTCGATCAAAGAACAAATGAGTGTGTTGGAGGAAAGTTTAGTCAACGTGAGAAGACCGATGTAGCCTGGAAAACTGCCATGACGCGCGACATGAAAGCTTTCAAATCGGAAATCAAACATGATTTTCAACAGATGGAAGCGAAGCACCAGAGCACGTTCGAGGCTGCCTTGGCTAACACGGAGGCTAAGATTACTCAATCCATGCAGAGTTCCATCCAACAGCTGCAACAGTTCATGCTTGACCAAGCTAAGCTGACTGGTAAGAGGCCACAACCTCCCAGTCCCGCGAAATCCAATGGCGAGGATGCTGTGATGGAGCAGGCGTCGTGACGCCATTTGTGTTTGCATGCTTTCGGTTTCACTTTTAGCTTTACCGTCGTTGGCCCTTCCATTTCTTTCCGGATATGTGTTAATCATGGCACGAGTGATGGAGAGAGTTCATTTTTCTATTTCCAACGAGGGTGGTATTTCTTTGCACGTGTTGCGTTTGTCAACGCACCTGTACGACCCTTGGATCTTCGCTCGGATGAAGATTCTATCCAATGCTATCTAGTTCAACCATATTTGATGCTCCAGATTCATACTCAAAACGATTTTGAATTCAACTACCTCATGATGTCGTGTGGGCGAAGCATCCAATCCGGGTCCAGATCACACGATTAGCGTGTGTCTCATAAACC